TACAAGTTATTAACGTACAAGTTAATATCTATAATAAATTTACCTAATATTTTTCTTATTCAAAATCGGAAATGAAAGAGAGACATTCTTAAATTCTAAAATATTCAAAAAAGCAATTCAATAACTAAAAAATTACTGTTTATATAATAACGAAATAACATAATGATAATCCTCTCTTCTCTCTGAAAAAAATGAACTCAGAAAAAGCAATAAAATTGTTACAAAAAATTGTAACATAAAAATAAAAAATAAATGTTTACTGATAATATCAATAAAATCGAATTTAATATAATATGTACAGGTATATAACAATAATAATTAAAGAAAATAAATAATAATGAGTAACAAAAAGTTAAAAATTAAATATTATATCTTATATCAATGTATTATATATGATACTTTTCCTTAGTTTTTTCAACGTACGTAATAAAAAAGAAATATTTGTCTTGCTGTCTTGCTGTGTTCTATTGCAGTAACTCAGAGATTCATGCGTTTAAATACATGTCAAAGTCGATCTGACCTGACCTAGAAGAGTATGGTGGAGTGATATGTTGTTCGCGAAATTGCGAATGAAACGTGGCGCGAACGAACGGTGTTCCGAACTGCAAAACTTCCAAATGTGTATCTACGGCCAGTTAGTGTATCGCCCGCCTGTGGTCCAGGGACCTCGAAACTTTTCTCGAACGAACTTTATCGCTGCCGATTTTTCACGACTTCCACCCGTCAATGGCGCGACACGCCCTTGGGAGACGAGAAAATCGTTCGGTTTGTCGAATCTTTAACGATGACAGTGGCTATAGTACGCGACAAGTGGTTGGCATGAACAAAAGAGGTTCTGTCATCATGAGAAATCACGTTCTTTTACTCGTATGGGAGAATATATTGGATGTTATTTAGGAAACTGTATTTTCATGGGCGTACCCAGAATTTTTTCCGGAGAAGGAGAGAGAATTAACAATTCTGTTATTACATAAACAGAAATTTTTTGACTTAATGAATTGTTTTTTGAATATTTTAGAGCTTATAATGTTCTTCACTTTGAATGAAAAAAAAATATTATATAGGTTCCGTAAATTTATTTTTTTCTTCGAAGAATGTGTAGGCAGTAGATAATTAAAAATAAAATATGTAATTGTAAATAGAGTACTCATTAATATCTCAGCGTATATTCTGTTTTTGCTAAAAAATATGGAAAAAATTTTCCTTATATATCAGGTACTTTGTCAAAAGTGTAACTAACGAAAGTTTTCGAAATTATTTACATGATCATAAATAAAGGGAGAGGAGAAGATAGAAAAAAAATTTCCTGTGACAACAAAAAACTCAAAGTCAAAAATAAAGTTATATCTTTTATAATTATAATGAAAAAAATGAATAAAAAATTTTGAGAGAGAGTTAAAACCTTCCCTCTCCCCCTCCCCTTAGATACATCTACGTGTATTTCCACCTTAAGGATTGTCTACAATGAGACTTTTAAAATGTAAAACTTAAGCTTTAAGCTCCATAGTCAATTATTCTTTCCACATTCGACTGTAATTGATTAATTTTTTACGGAGATTTAAAGCTTAAGCTTTATGCTGCAAAATCTTATTTTGTCAGTAGATATCGCTTACATAACGTAGAAACTAAGAATATGTCGTCAAGCTCTGATTGCAGATTTTGAATTATCAAACTAATCGCAAGCAAAAATGGATACATTAGTTAATCTCATTGATAATTTTATCAAAACAGATTCTGTCAAGTGTTTGTATGCGAAGCTTTGCTCCGTAAGAGGAATCAGATTTACGTGTGAGTATATAACCGATTATTAATTTCGATCGTGAAAGGGACGTTGGATGAATCTCGCCTAATGCGCGCACGTATTATATACGCAATCGGAAATTAGTACGAGCACGTGCGAATACGTCCTGTACCTATTTAGTTAGATTAAATCAATGGAGGATCGGCCGAGAGATAGGTCAATGTACGAAAATCCACGAACGCGCGCAGCAGTCGCATTATGTCCCTGGGACATCGTAATCGCATTAATTGCATTGACCGACACCGGGAGCATCGGGTGCACAAACGCAGTTGGACGCGGCTGGGAATTCGCTGCGGACAAGTTCAGCGATGGAAAATTTCCAATATTTGTTTCGCGCTCCAAGTTGACAGGCCCCATTCCGAATTGATGGCGACCGTATCGAGTGCCGCTGCAGCAGAGATGAATTCAGTCATGGAACAGATGGTTCGCACCAAATATCCAAAATCGTTCGTAGTTCGCGGTGTTACCTTTTGTGAACGTGGTCAAACAAATCTTAAAAATATCCCTAAAGTATTTAAAATAAAGATCCCACTTCGGATGGAAAAAATGATTTTATGCTAAGTATCTAAAAAATTAGCTAAATGCAGATCTTAAAATAATTTTATTAGAGTATGTGAAAAATTCAAATATGATAAGCAACACTACAAAAAATTTTGACAGTCTAGCAATCTTAATTTAAATCTTCTACATAATTATTTTGATATCTATAGTTCAATAAGATTATATTTTGAGATTAAAAATTTTAAATACCTTACTAAAATCATTCTTTCCGTGTAAATGGGATTTTTATTTTAAATAAAATTATTTTCATATCTGGATCTACCTAAATTTTTTAATACTTTAGGAAAAACGTCGTGTATAGAATATGATGTCTTATCTGCTAAGAATACATATGCAAGAATATGAATAAAGATATTTTAGAAAAATTATTTATAACTTTTAATTAAATGTCAATTGGTTTTGCGAACTTTCCTCATGCGACAAATATGTAGTTGCGGTGATGATAATACGCTTATTTTGAAAGCGCAGAAATGCATAAAGATCGGATTATCGTTGAAATCACGTGAATGAAAAGTATATTCGCGCATCTGATTCGTATTTAATTTCACTGATGCTCATACAGCATATTTGAGTCGATCGTTCGTGCTAATATTTATGATTCGGAGAGATGATCAACCGTGATTAAACTAAATTCCTATAAATTAACGATGCGTTTCCACAGCGTAGTCGAATACGAACATATCATAGTATACTATTATCGATTGTATGGTAATTTTATGAGAGAAGTATGTAACGATATAATGATCATTATCTATAACATAATTGTTGAATAATTTAATAAAGAAAGCAATAATAGCTTGCAATAATTACGAAAAGAAACAAGTTAGAATAAAATATTTATATATCTGTGTTGGGAGGTGAGAGAGAAGAGAATTGAGAAAACGGGATTTGTACTGAACCTCGATTTCGCGAAACGAAAACTATACGAATAACCGATTTGTTGGACGGATCGATGACTAAATAATTCCTTGGTCACATCCCCGATGAATACAAGTTGAAAAAACGAATTGAATCAGTATTTGCTCAATAATTTCGTGTCGACCAAACAAAATTAATCAGATGTGAAGATTAAAATACATTGCAAATTTTTACTTTTAAATCAACTAAATAATACGAGAAAGCAAAATACGAGAAACGTAAATAAAATTAATTTATCTCAGAAATATGACTGCGCGCCGATTACTTACGGACTTCCAACATAATTTGAAATACAAAATAACTTCCCCAAATTTAAATTAAATCATTGATTTGATGTTTTTATCTTAAAATCTGTAAAGAACTTTTTGTTTTTAAATTATTTTTAAATTCGTTTTATTTAGCGCGCAATGATTTGATTAAATGTCAAGTGTTTAATATTCTAGTTACTAAATATATTTGATAATAACTAATTACGTGTTCTTTTAGATACACAGGGACATGCTGAAGATAAGACGACACTGTCTACGAACTCAAGCGTGTCCTCTTAGCACTTAAGTAGTTGCATGAACCTCATAAGCAGTATTCATGACACTGTTTACTTTACAGTGGAATAAGTATAAGTGACGTAAATATAGTATGTACCAGAAACCTACCAGAAATTCTCCTAAACAAGATAAATTTAACAAGAACAGAAACGACTGTTCAGATAAATTTGTAATCAGCTTCCGGCGACAATTCTGATTGATTAATTTTATGTAATTAACAATTTCTCTTAATCAACTGATAGTTCCAGTCCGAATTTAGATTAAAAAATTCTGTAATTGCATTAACCTTATTTTCATTTATGTATAGAAGTTAAAATTGATCAAATTATTTCTATCGTTTTTAAAAGCTTTTCGATTTATAAGAAAATGGCTTATATACGGGTGTTTCTTAAATAACGCTCACTAATCATATAGTGCTATTCCTAAAAACTGAATCGAAAAGTCCTCTATCATTTTACAATTTTCGCAACTTTTTTTTAGTTATCCACTGAGCAAAATGTCTAAAATCGACATATAAGACAACTTTTAAGATATCTAAAAGTTCTTTAACAAACATCTTTAAAATGTTTCATAAAGAACATAAAAAAATATCTTAAAAATATCTAAAATTGTCTTATACATTTTATTCGGGAACTTAATATCTCGTTAGAAATTAATATCTCGTCAACTATTGCGAAAATGACAAAATGATAAAGGACTTTTCGATTCAGTTTTTTATT